ATACAGTATACATATACATCCTTAACACACATGCACGGACGATTTCAGAATTTGCTGTCAACGTTTTCATGACAAAAATACTGTTTTAAAGTGACAAAAAGCGATTGCGAAAAACCCGGAAGTTACCATGAAACAGCTAGCTAGCTTAGCTGTTACCTGCCTAGCACGTCCCGGTGAAACCTTTGGGAGCTAACTATTTTATTTGCAGTCATTAAATACATTTCTAATTATAAGGGTTGTCTAATATTTGTTCAAATATGTATATATTTTTTTACTTTAGAATTATATTCGAATTTTAAAGTTGAAGCCCTGGTTGTTAAGCAGCGCTGTAGAGACTAGAGGACGCAGGCTGGTCGCTTCTTGTTCTGTGAGCGGAGGAGAACGAGCGTCCCGCTCAGACTCTACTCAGCACTTTTCGCTGCCTGAATTTCTTACACAGTGGAATCAATGACCTCAAGTTTTCAATTAAATTATGTATTATGATACAACTTGTATGTAGTAAAAAGCATTTTTATGAACTACTTAGAAAAAAAATCGGGTATAGCTTCTTTAATCTGAACACATTCTGTCTTTTGACAAGATTCTCCAATGGGATAAAGCTTTATTTTTTTATTTCTCGTATCTCTTTAAAACTAGATCATTTTGCATTGTCCCAGTGGCAATTCAGTGCCCAAATTAAGATACCATTTTCCAAATTTGATACAATTTTGACTTACTTTTCATTACTTTGTGCAGTGTAGCCAACCAAGGAAGTAAAGAAAGTTTGAATTCCGCATTTACATCATATTAGTTGGCGGTGAGTTGAAGACTTTGGCTCCAGTTCCATTGGACCCATGACTCTGGTGAGAAGCTGATGGTCAAAACAGGTGATGAAAGAGAAGAATAACAGGATAATTGTTCTTTAGGGACAAAAGGCTCCGTCCCGCCTCCAGGGACTGACCCCCGACGGAGCCATGGCCGCCGCTGTTTGTGTGTTTACTGGAACTCAGGTTGGAGAAAGTTACCAAAGTCATCTGAAACTTTGGCCAAGGCAAGTCAATTTAATTTGTATAGCAGTGGCACAGTTAATACACGAGGCAATTCAAAGTGCTGAACAAAACAATATAGAGACAATCACATTGAAATCATGAATAATCACAGTGCATTAAAAAGATGAAATCCTTCAGTTGTTTCAGAAAATAGAACTGATTTTAACCTGGATTTTAATATTGACATTGTCAGAGAAGAAACCTGTCTTACATTTCCAGGAAGACAGCCAGATTTTAGGTGCATACATTTGAATGACTGCCTCCCCATGTTTAGTCCTTAATCTGTTTAGTCCCTGTCCTCCTCAGAGTTGGTTGATAAGGCACTAAGATGTCTCAGATGTACTTTGATGTGAGGCCATGACACATGTACCTAACTGATATTTTCTCAGTAATAATTCAGAAAGAGTCTTGTAAAAGTACATATTTTGTGTGGGTTTTGTGCTTTATGTTTTGTTTTTCTTGCTTTTTTCTACCTGAAATGTTGCTGCAGTACAGGGTTCATGGTTTTGCACTGGTCCAGACCGGAGCAGAGAGGATTCATGGTCCGAACCAAGCAGATCAGGTGAAAATCGACCGGAGGAGTGCTGACTTTTTGAAAAATGCTAATGAAGCATTTAGCATTTTACTTTGGACTAGAGCAGATAAAATGGTCCAAACCCAGAGGCTACTCCACCTCTGCTACTGTGACCTTCCTGCTCCACCCAGAGGCTACTCCACCTCTGCTACTGTGACCTTCCTGCTCCACCCAGAGGCTACTCCACCTCTGCTACTGTGACCTTCCTGCTCCACTTAGAGGCTACTCCATCTCTGCTACTGTGACCTTCCTGCTCCACCCAGAGGCTACTCCACTTCTGCTACTGTGACCTTCCTGCTCCACTTAGAGGCTACTCCATCTCTGCTACTGTGACCTGAAGGGCTGTTGCTGTTTATTACTTTTAGCTAGTTAGCTTTTTGGAATGATCAATTTTATTTTTGATTTTTATCTGCAACAGGACAACTTAATTTCTCCGACGGGGGATCAATAAAGTATATATCTATTGTGAACAAATCAGCCATCAACTTGGGCTGGACCAAGCTCAAGTGATCCAGGGTTGCGTGTTCAAATCAATGGCTTGTGCTCAGTAGCGCATGGGACATACATGGGCTTCGATATTTTGCCATATTTGGGCATCCTCTGGGTCTGCGCCAAGCCCCGGCGATCCAAGATGACGGGCTCAGTGGCGCATTTTCCGGCACGGGCGCCAAAAAATTTGTGTAACTCGCCCATATTTGGGCATTGTCTGGTCCTCCCGGTTCTGCGCAGTGGACAAGCTCCCATGATGTGTTGCGCCAAATACGCGTGTGTGGCTTTCATGCACATGCACAGAGGGGCTCAGCCGCACTCTGACCAATCAGAGCTGCTGATCAGAGTGGCGATAGAGTAGGAGTTAGAGCAAACCGAAAGATTTAAGAGGAAAGAAAGTTCAGGAAGACAAGGGACACTAAAGTCCTTACAAAATCCTCTTTTATGAAAGCTGTAAGTTCTCTGTCAGCTGAGGTCGAGCTGTTTTAGGTTGCATTGAGTTTCATGGACAGTAGCTCAGTTGGTAGAGCATTGGCCTGAAGGTTGTGGGTTCAATTCCTACCTCTACACCTTCTCCACCGACTCCCACTGATGACTGCTGTCGTTGTGTCCTTGGGCAAGACACTTAACCCCACTTTGCCCAAAGCCCCCACTGAAAGATCAAGGCTATGCTCACACTCAGAGAGCAGCCGTCCTCCTGTGGACTCACCACCTGCAGAGGGTCAGTGAGGGGCTGGTGCTATGAGACTTGGGTGGCATCTCTGACTGCCACCCCCCTGACCCAGAAATGGATTAAAGGGTAGAAAATGGATGGATGGATGAGTTTCATGGGAGATTGTTCTGGGTGGCTCGCATGAATTTAGTCTGCAGTACCACGGGCGCCCTCCTGTGTCCCTGGGTGGAAGAGCTTTAAGCTAGTAATACTCCATCGAGATTCTATAATAGATCCATGGGCTGGACTCGCCATCACCTACGGCGACTACTGCTCCTGACAGACTCCTGCTCCTAGTGGCATTAGGCTAGGTCAAATGGATAAGTAACTCATCTTTATTTATATAATGCTTTTCACAGACCGGAGTCACAAAGCGCATTACAATTGTGGGCATTTGTCCATGAATGGCCCTGCAGGAATTAATTAAGTGCACCTTTACCTTTGAACACACTGGGACAGGTGAAGAGCAGCCCCCACACACAGCTGAAAAATACTGCTAATGCAGGCTAATCCAGGCCATACAACGAAAATGGCGACATCAGTAACATTGCATTGCAATTTAAGTTACATACACAGGGTTTAGTAGTCCATTGTTTCACATGAACAGCACCAAACTGCCTGAGAGTGAGGAAGTGGATTTTATTAAATTGACAAATTTAATAAAATCATCAAATTAGCAAAAAGCTACAACATATGAATGTCGGACATCAACAACAACTACTTATTCTTGTATAGCCCTAAATCACAACAGTAGTCATCTCAGAGGACTAAACAAAACCATTGAAATCACCAACACAGATCAGAGAATCAGAGGTAAATGTCCACACATGTTGTAGAATGTTAAAGTGTCCTGGATCATCACCACAGTCCTTCTAGTTGGACACTGACTGCCCGACAGACCCTCCTGCATCGGCAAGGAAAAACTCACAAAAACCCAGTGGGGAAAAAATGTGAGAAACCTCGGGGAGACCCACATATTGAGAAAGGTATCCGCTCCGATACGGACGGACGGGCTATAGATCCAGGACCTAAGCTACAAAAGGAGGACCAATGCAGCGGCCGCAGAGCGTGGACAGGTCCGGTGCAGGACTGAAGCGCTCCCTGGCAAATCGGGCAGGACAGTCCGCAGGTGCAAATGGAGGGGGGCAGGGCAGTCCGCAAGATGGAGAGGGCCGGTTCAGAGGTCCCGTTGTCGCGCCATGAAACAGACAATAGGACAATGGGTGAATAGCAATGAACACACTACAGCCAAAGTCTTAATAATGCAGATAGATAGAGTAGGAAGGAGGAGAGGATAGTGCTCAAGTTACCATACTTCTCCCAGCAAACTGACTCCCTACGCAGATTGACTGACAAGTCTAAGATGTTTAGCCTTCCCTGAATCTTACCTTCCTAACCATATGCTAAACTGAAGAGGACTATTTTAAGCCTAGCCTTGAATGTGGAGACCATGTCCGAACAAAAGTGAGACAGCAGCAGCCACGGCTAGGCTAGTCCAGGCACCAAAGATTTGTGGATTACACACCAAGTGTGTAAACCAAACCAGACAAACAACCAAACCATATGTTATGTCCTTGTCCTCTGTCCTCCTCTGTCCTGTCCTGGATCCTGGGTTTAATTCCACATCCCTCTCTGGGTAGGTTTCCTCCAGTTGCTCTGGTTTCCCCGACCATTAAAAACACAGTAGGCCTTCTGTATTGCCCGGAGAAACGCCAGGACAACGAACGAGCTGTCTTCATCTTTTGCATACTTGCAAATCTGATCAAAAGATGTGACAGAGACAAACAACCTGGAAACTGTTCTGACAGAGCTGTTGTTTTATAAAGAGGAATGGGCTAAACTTTCTGTCTCTAGATGTGCAGACATCAAAGAGAAATGGCACATACTGTTTGCCTTGCTTCTGTCAGTGTGCCCCGGGGCAGCTATATCTACAGTAGTGACATGTGAAGCGTCTTTGAGCGTCCTGAAAAGTGCTGTATAAAACCAATGCATTATTATTACTTTTTGTGTTTTCAACTGTATTAGAATTATTTATTAAACATGGTTTGAAAGTTATGTACACCAGCTTTAAATGTTGCCACAGTAAAGTTGATACGAGTTTTACCTGCGGTGGTTATTGGTCCTCGCCCTGTGATCCACTGGGGCCTGAGCCAATAAAACCAGGACCAGTCCATCTGGTCTCTCACACCAGCAGCAGATGGAGAACAGGTCTGCATACATCTCTATCGACGGTTATGTGGGAGTGAACAAATATGGAGGGCTTTTTTTCAGCCTCATGATCTCAGCTTACCTCCTGATAGTCTGTAGCAACAGCCTGATCGTCTACCTGGTCTGGAGTCACCCCAACCTCCACGAACCTATGTACGTCTTCATTGCCGCTTTGTCCGTCAACTCCGTCGTCTACAGCTCCACCATCTACCCGAAGCTGCTGATCGACTTCCTCTCGGAGAAGCAGGTGGTGACCCACGCCTTCTGCCTCTTCCAATGGTTCACGTACTACAACTTAGGCGCCTCCGAGGTCATGCTCCTGGCGGCGATGGCCTACGATAGATACGTTTCCATCTGCAAGCCTCTGAAATACGCCATGATTATGAGACGAGGGAATGTGGTGGGGATCCTGGCGCTGGTGTGGCTGTTCCCCTCCGGCCAAATGATAGTTCCTCAGTTTTTGAATGCTAGGAGAAAGCTTTGCAAGTTTGTGTTTCAGGGGATCGTCTGCAACAGTTCAGTTCACGACCTTTACTGCACGAGCTCGGCCGCCCTAACCACGTACGGGTTGGTGGTTTTCATCAACGTGGTGGTCCTGCCTGTGGTCTTCATCCTTTACACGTACGGCAGGATTTTTGTGATGGCGAGACGCTCTGCAGAGATGCGTAGGAAGGCGGTGAAGACCTGCCTCCCGCACCTCATCGTCTTGATCAATTTCACGGTTTTCATCGCGTACGACTTTCTGCTGCTGCGCTTCAAATCCGAACACACCAAAACAGTGCGGTTCGCGATTACGTTACAGGTGATAATGTACCATCCACTGTTTAACCCGCTCATCTACGGACTGAAGATGGACAAGATCCATCGACACATACGCAAACTGCTGTGCAATGAAACGACCAAATATACAGCAGAAATTTGACTGATATTTTTACCTCCCCTCACTTCTCACATTGCCCTTTCCTCCTTCCAAGGCAGATTTTATTTGTCTCTTTATAAAAGACTGAATTTCCCCAGTGTGGGACAAATAAAGGATCTCTTAATCTTAATATAAACAAGAAATTTTAGCTTGTTCTATTGCCAAATGCCTAGTTTTAAGACAAAATGTACTCGAATTAAGATGGACTTAGCCTAATTCGACCTCTTTTTAACTCATTTTGGGACACTTTTGCATGACTTGAACAATTATTAGTTTGATTTGATCTATTTTGATCTATTTTCTTGAGGACGGTTTAAACATAGAGAAGTTGTGCTGTTTCTGAGGTCATTCTAACAATCATCAATAGAAAAGTTTAGATTGAACAGTTTTTCATCCTACAGTGAGGAAAACTCTCAAAGCACAAGAAACAGCAGCAACTCAAAGGCATCGGAAATCTACTTTTAACTGTTTTAACACAATGTCTGTGTGTTCGAATACGTTTGTGTTTAAGGCCGAAAAACTCTGGTTCCATATAATAACCTGGTCATTTCCAACGTGCTTTGTCTGAATGAAGGATTGTACTTCGGTCCAAATCTTAATCTTAAAGAACAGACTTTAAGCACAGATCGACCTCTGTGGAATGGTTCAGTTAGGGACAGTAAATGTTTATTTAAGTGATCAGAACAGTGGTCTGTGTTCACCGCTGTGTGAGAAACATCAACCTTATTTAGATTATTTATATCAAACCGGTCTCCTTTGGTTTGTTGGGGAATCTTATTTTATTGTTTGACCGAGTGTTTGTATTTTCTTTAACAATCTCAACTTAATTCTCAAAATAGGTTTAAAATTCTGCACTTTCTCTGTGAAGGCCGAGGAATTCCACTCCTTTGTCTTGGCCTACACTTTTTTCCCATTTTTGTTATGTTCTTCTCCAGTCAATGTTTTTCTAATGGGTAAGTCAAGATTCAAATGTTATAATAAACAAATGACAGCTTATTTCTGTTTTAATGTTTTTAGTTGATGTTAATTTCCTCATCACGCCTCAACGCTCCTTTGAAATATAATTTCCGTTTATTGATTCTTTACTGTCACAAGAATCAGCCACATTTTAATATGAGGCATTATCCACCAGAAGGCAATGTTCACTGTTTAGTGTAGAACTAAGGCTTGCTAGTACGCCAAGTATGACAAAGCTACGGAATTAATAGAATATCCTGGTCCTCTCTCTGGGTCCTCGCTCTGAGTCCTCAGGCTGGGTCCGTTTGCCAGGTCCTCTCTCTGGGTCCTCTCTACGGGTCCACTCCCCGGGTCATCTCTCTGGGTCCTCTTTCTGGGTCCTCTCTCTGGGTCCTCTCTCTCTGGGTCCTCTCTCTCTGGGTCCTCTCTCTGGGTCCTCTCTCTCTGGGTCCTTTCTCTCTGGGTCCTCTCTCTCTGGATCCTCTCTCTCTGGGTCCTCTCTCTGGGTTATCTTTCTGGGTCCTCTCTCTGGGTCCTCTTTCTGGGTCCTCTATCTCTGGGTCCTCTCTCTCTGGATCCTCTCTCTCTGGGTCCTCTCTCTGGGTCCTCTCTCTCTGGATCCTCTCTCTCTGGGTCCTCTCTCTGGGTCCTCTATCTTTGGGTCCTCTCTCTCTGGATCCTCTCTCTCTGGGTCCTCTCTCTCTCCTCTCTCGGATCTCTCTGGGTCCTCTCTCGATCTCTCTCTCTCTCTCTGGGTCTCTCTCTCTGGGTCCTCTCTCTCTGGGTCCTCTGGGTCCTTTCTCCGGGTCCTCTCTCACCAGGTCCTCTCTCTCCGGGTCCGTTCTCCGGATCCTCTCTCTCTGGGTCCTCTCTCTGGATCAGTTCGACGGGCCCTCTCCCCCTGGTCTCTCCACAAGTCCTCTCTCTGGATCCTCTTTCCGGGTATTAATATTTAAAAAATTATAAGTTCCCCCCCAAACTAAGTTAGCTTGGGAATTGTGAACTCCTGTGCAAATGAAACGACCAATTAAACAGCGGAAATTTGACTGAAATTTTTACCTCCCCTCACTTCTCACATTGCCCTTTCCTCCTTCCAAGGGAGATTTTATTTGTCACATTTTAGCTTGTTCTATTACCAAATCTAGTTTTAAGACAAAATGTACTCAAATTAAGATAAACTTTTGGGACACTTTTTGCATGACTTCAAAAATTACTAGTATGATTTGAGCTATTTTGTTCTATTTTCTTGAGGATTGTTTAAACATAGAGAAGTCGTGCTGTTTCTGAGGTCATTCTAATAATCATCAAAAGAAAAGTTTAGATTGAACAGTTTTTCATCCTACAGTGAGGAAAACTCTCAAAGCACAAGAAACAGCAGCAACTCAAAGGCATCAGAAATCTACTTTTAACTGTTTTAACACAATGTCTGTGTGTTCAAATACGTTTGTGTTTAAGGCCGAAAAGCGCTGGTTCCATATAATAACCTGGTCATTTTCAACATGCTTTGTCTGAATGAAGGATTGTACTTCGGTCCTCTCTACAAGTCCTCTCTCCGGGTCCTCTCTCCGGCCATAATTATTCAAAATATTATAAGGTCCCCCCCAAACTAAGTTAGCTTGTAAATTACCTGGCCTACAAACTAATCAAGAGGCCTGCCTACAGTTTTAAACCTGGCACCGCTTGTGGTAAAGAGGTTTGTTGAGAGAAAAATAATAAAGTAATGAACTAAAACGTATGATATCATCTGGTATTACATGGTGTCACATTGAGGAAGGCCAGTGTGCAACTCGTCTCAGTTTAATTCACAGTCAGAGCCTCAGATTCCGCTGTTGTCTTTGTTACTGTTGTTAATGTTGATGAGGTGATGTTTAAATGGGAACCTGGTGTTGTTTCACATTATGATTTCATTTATTATTGATTATTCAAATGTTTAGAGTTTGTTTTGTGTGGGAGCCGCAGGGGCTCAGTTGGTAGAGCATTGGTCTTTGAGACTGAAAGTCGTGGGTTCGAGCCCACCACAATATCTTCTCCATCAACTCCCACTAGAGCCCTGCACGGGCCTATTATCTGGGCCCGAGCCCGGCCCTGGGCCGAGGGGATGGCGCCCCAGCCCGGCCCGGGACGATATGGTTTCTGAATTTTCAGGCCCGAAACCCGCATCAAGCCCGACTTTTTTTTTACCTCCCATAACAACGTTTTAGCGTAGTATATAGTGCCGCGCACTGATATGAACACAGGTTTGGCCAGAGGGCAGAGTTATACATGGTAGTGATGTGTTGCCATGAGTTCTGTGTGTTCGAGTGAACAGCTGCAGCTGTATGATACACAGCTGTATGATGCCCAGATGCAGCAACACACTTGTAAGTAATGTGTCGTCAATGACAACACTACACAGAACAACAAGCACTACAGTGTGGTAGAACGCTATAATCAGTGGGTCCATTCGTAAATGTAATCTGCCGCTCTGAAAGTGCGCAAGCCCGGCCCGTGTCCGAGGTCATTATACGGTCATCGGCCCGAAGCCCGGCCCTCGGGCTGTCGGGGCCCTCGGGCCAAGGGCTCAAGTGCAGGGCTCTAACTCCCACTGATGTCTGCTGTTGTTGTGTCCATGGGTAATACACTTTACCCAACTTTGCCTGTAGCCCCCGCTGAAAGATCGCCGACAGAGTAGCTACTAGCCATCCTCCTGTGGACTCATCACCTCCAGGAGGCTTGATGGAGTTTGTTATGTCGCCTTTATCCAATTTCAGCCTTATAACCAGTTGGAGGAAGTCCTTGTACAAAGGCCTTGCTCCAGAATAGAATCAGTTAAACAGACTGAAACAGTGTTTGGTGGATTTATTTGACCAGTTCCAAAAGAATAAACACCATATGACCTGTAATGATACAAAATCTGAAAACTTCTATTCTACATCTATGTACAGTACATACAGTAAATACAGTCAGCTGATTTCTCTGGTGGCGTCTGTGGATCTGGAAAACTGGTTTCAACCTGGAGAGACTACAAGACACAAGATGTGTTTCAGAGTTCTTTATGCGTTTGAGATTATATGGATTGTGTTTGTTTATGGGTTTGGAGCTTAGGCCCCGGCTGTGGCCGTGCTCTGAAGGGATCTGCGTCTGGGTGCAGATCATGATCCCCAAAAAGAGAGCTTGGCTAGCGATGTGTTTGCCATGACTTGGTTGCTGCGTTTATGGAAGGCGCATGGTGTGAGTGAATGTTTCCGAGCGCAAGCTCAGCTCTAGCGCTGAGGCATTGGCATGCGCACAAGCTCAGCTTGGGTGCGCACCATAATGTCCATGCGCGAGCTCGGCTCTAGCGCTAAGGCATTGGCACGAGCTCGGCTCGAGTGCGCAGCATAATGTCCGTGCGATGGCTCGGCTCTATGGCTAAGGCGTTGGCACACGCACATACTCAGCTCGAGTGCGCGCAATATGTCCGGACCATTGACTGTACATCTCTGCCGTTCTAACTAATGGGCCAAAAATTGGGCTCTCATGGAATGATTCAAAATGGTCAGCCGGCACGAGCTCCATTCATGTAAACTAGACTAGTCCAAAAAAATTCACTCCCCTCAGCATTGACACAAATGTGAAACGGAGCTTTGGGCCGAGAGCCAACTTTTGGAGCATCCTGTAAAGGTGTCTTCGAGAGGTAAGAAGATGCTATATGTTAGTATTGGCTAATTCTTATTTCGGGTCCACCCCCATCGGCCCGGGGTGGTATTGTAAACATGTCAGCGCACATCATTTTGGCCACTTTTGAGCCGGGACCCGCCCCCACTGGTCCGGACACGAGCTCGGCTCTAGCGCTAAGTTGTTGGCACGCGCACAAGCTTGGATCGAGTGCGTGGCATAACGTCCGTGTGCAAGCTTGGCTCCAGCGCTGAGGCGTTGGCACGCGCACGAGCTCGGCTCGAGTGTGTGGCATGCTGAAAATGAGGAGTTGCCACCACCAGGAGACGCATACATACTTATGCGCTGGGCTGCCGGAATGGATGAAGGTGGCAGAGAACCAGGGACCCAGCTGCTGGAGAGATGACTAA